CGTCCCAAGAGAAATTATCACCCGGCGGATCTCGTAGGCGGGGTCAGAATGTGTATCCCCCTATAGCCCCACGGTACCCCATGGGTGTTTAGGCCTTAGGCCTTCATGGTAATTGGAATATAAAAAAAATGGAAAATAAACATGTATCTCATTAAACAAATCGCCAAAGACTTATTATCCTGTTTTCAAGAGGCAAAGTAACATTACATACTTCTTTTACCTTAAAACATATTTAATATGTATGAGGCTATTATTTATGAGTGAAATAATCATACACAAAAAAACGGTTTCTGTTTACGTAGCTAGAATTTAATGTTTTGGGCCTATTAAAACTGAACGCTGGTTGGTACCCTTCAGTTACACAGCATTCCAAATCCCAAACTTGAAACATGCAAATTACCTACAACTTTGCAAGTTTTGGGCGTCACCGTCACAATATTTTTTGATATTTTTTTGATTTCCACGCTTGTGAAAGCTATAGCCACGTGCGTCATGAGTAATATAAATGAAATATACGCAAAATTTCTAACCTCGTTTATTAATATTATCATTATTATTATTTTGATTTTTCACTGGTGTAGTAATCACATACTATAAAAATTTCACTGAGAAGCGAGTGCGGCTTACCAAATAAACGGTTTTGATTTTACATCTTTGTCATATAAAATTACGTGAAAATCTAGATATTTCCCGTTTTTTCTGACGTTGAAAGTACATTCGAGTTCAAGTAGGATGCTAATTTTGTTATTATACAATATTGATTAATTGTAAATCAAAATAACAAGTGGGGTGAGGTGTAGCCGATTTTATAACAGAATATTTTTTTGACAGTTGCTTACGGGACGATGCCGCATGCACCCCTTTGTCACCTGTCAGCCCCATGGCCAGTACGAGCAGCTAGGGAAAACACTCGGGGCACTCATTGTCCAAGCATTGACTGCCCCGAGTTATCCAATAGATCATTCGCTGATCACACATCTCGACAATATGTACATATTTGTACATTGTAAAATATTTGCAAGCATTTGATTAAATTCTTATTTTCCATTTATGTTTTGTTGTTTTTGTTGAGTTTGGATGGTTGGTAGATTAAAGAGGAGGAACAGGGTTTCAGGTGCCAGGATGTGACTTTTTTCACAATTAAATATTAATTCAATCAGTACTGTTTATGGATGAAACTTATAACCTTTACAAAGAATAACATTTTTGATTATGCTAACTTCATTGATTTGGCGTTCCCCAAGGTCGATGGCTATTCTATCCACATATAAAGGCCCAGTTTGAACGACATAGACTCGGATGCATCTTGTATTATGTCAACCAACTGACAACACTAAGACAGCACTTTGCTCTCTTGCATACAAGTTGTGCAAAGTTGTACAAATCTTTGGAAAAATACTTGCCTTAGGAAGCCTTTGGAATATCAAAATCGGATCAGTTATCATATTAAGAGTAAGTTATGAAATTAGACTTAAATGATCTTTTGATCATGGCAATATGATTATGAAATTCTGTTCCTCTTAAGTGAGAGCTGTGCAATTTTTGAAAGGTAAAAACGTTTGTAATGTAGCATATTCAAATATGGGCTAAATTTTCACCAGCACAGATTTTGTCCTATGATATTAGAGGATAATAGTAGCTATACTTGATTTGTTGAAACAAAGTTTGTTGAATTTTTCAAGTAGACTGCAACGTATACATTGGAACGAATTTAAAAACTTTTTGAAACATATATTTGATCTTAAGGCAGAAATCATAGTGGGTGTATTTATGTAGATAGGAAACTGAATGTGCTTTTGATTTGTAATTTTAAAAAATATAGTACTTATATGATAACCTAGTTGTGCAGTATACACAGTATATTTTTACTCAACATACTGATCTTTGAATTGAATAGAATACATTTTTGTGTTTTTGTATATGTATGAAATCACGTCGTCAGAATAACAAGAACAAATTGCTTTTTCCATCATTTTCCAACATTTTGAAAATTCGCCTAACTGCCTAACAGTTCCTAATTTGTTTAGAAATCACCGTTTATTTCTCTAATACATACTGCCTGTAAAATATGATGTCGCATTGTACTTATACATACATATTATCCAGTGGTGTAGTCCCACTTTAATTATATTAATAATACTAAGTTTATGTTGAGCAAAAATGATGCAGTTCTTACATTCTGCACTAACTTCTGTGACTTCAGACCAATGAAACAGTCTTATATACTTAAATGCCTAGATAAGGTAGACTACACCACTGAGTTCATTGGAGTGGAGAGTGCCTAATTTTTATGAATCCCTGTTGCTTAATTTCAGCGCCTTTTCTTTTTTAAGTAACTAGACGTCTGACAATAATGTGTTTTTCGTTTTCAATGCGTTTGGCAGTCTGCTTGTACAATGTACAGGGTACCTAAGTTTTTTTTACGAGGAATTCTGACTTTTCGACTATTATTTTTCATTGAGCGCATTTAGGAAACAAAAAAGCCTTAGCGTTTTAAGGCCATTGTCAATTTGATATCGAACTCAATATGGCGAGTGCTAAAACTGTGTAAACCTTACCAAATACAATTATTCCGCGTCACAACAAACGCGGTCGCTCGATTTTTTTTATTAATTCGCCTCTATTAGCTTATTGTTGTGTTCCCGCCAAACAGACGAATTGTAGTGCGAGCCTTAGCGGATCGAGAACCTGTCTTTGTTTGATGTGGCGTAAATGCTATGTGCATAGAATATATAGGACTCTATTGTCTGTCCAAATCAAACCACATAAATGTTTTAATTTCTCTTTATTGAACGACGTCACGGCCACGGTTACGTCTATCCGATATCAAATCTGACCTGATGCAACCATCACCACATTTTCAGATTTTAGGTTGTTTGAAACATTTTGTTGAAAAGTCCATACCCCGTTATCAATTTTGGGTCACCAGGTACATACTGTTGTAAATAAAATAAATTACGGGTTGTATATAGTGTGTGTTATGGACTGAATACGTCTGTCTTCCTCCCCCTTTTAGCAATATCTAACTAGATACCCCTTCCTAAATCCCCTCCTTTGTGGCAAATGAGAAAAACAACGACCATTTATTTATCGATTTGATTGAATACATACAGGGCACGGCAGCAGTTTGTACACCTAAGATGAATTATGTTGAGTTCCTTTTTTGAATGAATGTGTTGGGTGACTGCAGTTTTATACAAGTGGTCTCAATTGAATTTATAATTGTAACTTATTGATCATTAACTAAGTTTCAAAAAGAATGGTACTGGTAATAACCTATTTAGGTAACACCAACGAATTTGAATAGATTAGGAGCCAGCCTTTTACATTGCATTGTTTGTCGCCAAAATTAGTATTAGTGCATACTTTTCACTCATTTTACTACCAATGCCTACCAAAGTGACATTGCTGTATCAAGATAACAATAATCTGCCTTCATTAGGCCTGTGCCTTTGCAAATAATGTAAGAGGTACCTTGTCTTAAAATCGTCTTATCATAATTATCTGCAAACACTCGCACTTTCAAAAAATAATACTGGAAATACGAATTTAATGACAACTGTCAAAAAAGTTACTTATGTCAAGAGTACTTATAGTATGCACTTTCATCCTCACAACAGACTATGAGAGTTAGGAGATCAACAAATCCTCAATTGGCTCCTTCTTCCTAGTCTGAATTCGTTGGGTAATACCAAATGCAGTGAGCTGTTTGCCTGAATCTCGAATCTGTAAAATTGAGATCGTTATGTATATTTAGAAGATTATTTGAAAACAAGCAAAATTTGGGTTTCAGTAGTTTAGAGAAATAACAATTTTTGTACAGTTTACACGCAAGAATGAGAATTTGATGAGCTTCACTGTACTAAGGCACAAAAATTCAACATGTAACTTTATTGCATTTATTATTTAATATTTATCTCGATGGCCTTTTCCGCCGATTATATGTAGTTCAGGAATTATTTGTAAGTTTGCCTGAAAAATTTTGATAAAACCCGAAATAATACTTTATCATGATCCACATTTTTAAAAATTGAAATAGCTACATCTTATACCTAGCAGAGGCTTCCTAAGATTACTTCTAGTGGAATTTTGGAATATATGTGGCTCTCTTTTGTGTTAACAAGTTTCATTAAAGAAATTGTTAGGCAAACTTCTGTAGTCGTAAATTCCGGGCTAACATTGTAGAGGATTTACAAGTTGTGAAATAAGTTAGGTGGTTATTTTCGTTTATTTCAGTGAAATCATAAAGTTAAATTGTATTTTATAACTTAAATATCTAGCATAAAGTGTGAACGCCATCTATACACAGGGAAAATTTAACATAACATTTTATAAAATCAGATGAAAATAAGAGGTTAAACCTTATCAACTTTTGGCAAAAATGAAACATTGATTTTTATAATTCCTGACGGACTTAAATGCAGCAAGGTTCTTCTACCGGCTTTGTTAGTTCCACTAAAAATAGTGCAAGTTTTTTCGAAGTCCCCGTGTATAGATAGCAGTAAAACATTCTAGAATGCCATAGCAAATTTGTTTGATTTTTGAGAGATTTTACTTATATTCTAGCGTAATTACCATGCAATGAATGATCAAATGGTTTTTAATTCACTTTATATGTACGCACATTGTTATCATTACACATAATAGATTATCTGTTAGATATTGGTTGCTATTATATTAGTTGAGTTTTGAAATATATATTATATTTTTTAATGCAGAACCCAAAAGACACAGCATCGCCCGTTTATTTGCCATTGGCATAATTTTCTCCTGTATTTGTAAATAAACGATTTTTCATTTATTTTGACCGAAAAAATATGAATCCTATATAAATACAGGCCGGAGACGTTCTCTGGAGACACTCATACCCTCAGAAAGTTTATTAAACCTTTTGGTACAATTCATCCAACAACCCTCAAATCTAGTTGAAAAGTTTCTCGCTTGTATTGTCGAAATTTTGTAAAATCCTGCTTACATATTCTTTGGTTAAGTGTGTAAGAATGAAAATATTGATTGTACATAGATACATTTTGGCATACCATTTACAACAGAAGAAAGTACCCATTACACAATTTGTCAAGAACACGATTGCGGCGGATCTGGATGAATTTGTGGGTACTTTCAACATAGTGGAGTTAGTCCGTTGTTATAAAGGTAACTAAATATTTTTTTGGCAAAAATACGGCTTTATTCCAACAGTATATCTTTATACTCAAGAATTCTTGCACTATAGAATTACTTTAGCGACGCTTTTGTGCAAAAAATTTCTTAATGTACAGGTTGTATCGAAATTAGCATGTAGTGATTGAATGAGCCTGAGACACATGATTGACGTGTAGTGTCAGTTAAGCATGACGTAATATTGAATATCCACTCGTTACTGTACAGTAATTTTGATATAATTTCTGCTGAGTTTTGGGAGACTTCATATACAAACCTTACATTGAGCCTTCAATTCCTCAAATGTTTACAGAAACAAAAAGATACAGGCTGTCATAAATACGTTCCTGACACCAGATCCTTTTTGACTGTCATTTTTTTAATTTTACAGTTATCAAATTTTGTTTCAAAATACTTGTTTTTTCTTATGCTCTTTATTTTATCTGCACTGCTCAAATTAGAGCACGATTTTGCTATTTTTGGATCAGATTCTAACATCGCTTCAGCTTTATACTCAAAAAATAAGCGTCAATGTGATATTTATTCTTTGCGAATACAGATCCTTATGCATAAAATGCGAATATGAATATTTTTTCGAATATTCATTACTCAAATCCCGCCCTGCCCATTTCCGTCCTTTGCTGTTATAGGATCTGCGTAGAAGTTTATTTTCTCTGTGACTTCCTCTGGTACTTGTGTGATCTCTATTGGATTTTTTCGTCAAGATTCTTTAAGCTTCATTATATGCACCACATGCTGATTCTGAGACATTATGTATACAATATTACACCCATCCGTCCTCTGTGTATAAATATTTGAAAAAAATTGTACGTTCAAGTGCACAAAATATATTTACTTATCAATGTATGTAACTCAAACGCCATCTATACCACCTCTATTTTGACTCAAATTTTTTAACGTTAGCAATACTATTTAACAAATTATACAAAAAGTAAACTATTTCGCCAATATTTAGTAGCGCACCGCACTTTCACACTACTTCACAAAATTGGAAGAAGTTAGAAGTATTACCTGACTTTCATTTTTGTCAAACAGTTTAAAGAACTGCAAGCAAGGTTAGGTTTGATTATTTCTTTTTCGAAAACTTCTACCAAAACTATGTAAAATTGCCACATAAACAGTTTTAGAACTAATATTTATTTTTATATTTGCATTGTATATTTATTTTACATTGCAATTCTCGTTGATAATTATCTCTAAATATTTGAGAAAATTTGAGTATACGAATCTGATGAAAGTCAAGAACCACTGAAGGATGTTTTTCGTCTTAATTTTGTGGAAGATTGTGTTATTCCGCTATATTTTTAAGATTAGAGGATATAACATTAAAATATCCTTAGTAAATACCTAGCTGTATTTTGCCTTTTCTTGTCTAAATGGATACTTGTCGATTGGTCCAACAATCGAAATATAACATAGTACACTGCCACAATGCAAATTGTATATATACTTGTTTTTTCTTTTGATTGGTTTTTTTGTTTTGCTCACAGATTTGGTTAGAGTGAATAACATGTATTTCATGGCCACTGCTTATATAAAAATCAAAGGAAACTACGTCAAAAAAATATCAGTCGATGCTCTGTTATTCCCAACCGAGTTTCGATATAGTTATTATTAATACGTTTTATGTTTAAATATTAAACTTTACTTCTATTGCTTGCATTATTTGAATTCATAAGAGTATGCAAGAAATATTTCAGTGACGTCAGTGTGATATTTGAGACACCAGTAAAATTTACAATATTTTTTATGTAAATTAAGAACACCTGTTATCAGCCTATGTGGTCATGAATACTTTCTCCTTTAAAATGGATGTACATATATTTATTAGGTGTAAGGAAAATATTAACTAATAAATAATGGCATATCAAGAATGTATAAAGGTTATCAATACCAGTTAATTAGTTGACATTGAATACAACATTAGCAAAACGTTGAACTTCCCGCCAAATAATAACAAAAATATCGGCTCTAAAACTGACAGATACGAGAATATAATAATAGTTCTCTAGATATAGTAGGGTGAAGATTGTTTGCTAATGTTCTATGAGCCTATGTTTCCTTGATCATGTCTGAGATAATCTGTGGGTAAATAAGAAAAAAACTGATCCAATGTACGTACTGAGTACCAAATTTTGGGTATGAAAGATTTTAAATCTGTTGGGTTGGCTGGATTCAGCAGCCGATTCGCATTCTATATGTACCTAGCGCATAATTTGCATAATGAAATAAATGATAATTGAAAAATTGTTGTTTCCTTACACCTGATCAACAACTCTTTAGATAAGAAATGTTCATTTGAAACAACATCCTTATGTTAACTGCATGGAGAACTGTGGAACTATTATTATGCGACGAGAGCTCAGCATGTTTAATTTTTCAGCATTTGATGTCAATGGTCTGAAGATCTCTCCATGGCGTTTATGTAGAAACACTATTAATGATATTGAGACCAGAAGTATGGTATTTTATACCATAAGTTGGTGGGGTATCTGAAATGCAGGGTTATCAGACCTAATCACAATTTTGGAATTTTTGTATCTAGGGAATATCAATATTTTGCCCCTTAAATATTTTTTTTCAGGATCAGACGTGTCTAAACTGCCCCCCCCCCAACATGAAATTCGCGCCAAATCTGTATTGTAATATGTTCTAACGTGACATAATAGGTTTTCAGAGCCATGTTCTCAAAATGTGACAAATTAACCTTTATTGCTGCCTCATCCTCGAAACGAATGTTAATTCATTCCAGCTATAAATACGAAATTTCATCTAGGTAAGGAATGTCACATTATGGAAAATAGAATTCGTGGATTTCGATGTGAGGAATGCTCCACTGTAGAAATTAAATAAGTGGATTTCTTTAAAATATATTCAGAATATCTTAGTATAAAACGTTTGCTATCTTACTTAAAATAAAACTTGTTGATCTGGGCCGGTCGCGAAACTGCACTGTATTAACAAAATGATGTATCTAATTATATTCATATTATCCTGCACTTAAAACTTAGAGATTCGTTTTCGAGGTCTGATCAAAAACCTGTCTTATTTTTATTTTCATGGCGTTTTAACCGGCTAGAGGACAAGACAAGAAATAAGCGGTAAGATTAGGACAATGGCAAATATTAATCGTTTCACATCTTTCGTACATAATAAATATTACTACATTCTAACCAATTCGCTGTTAGCACGAGACTCTTACCATGAATGACAGAAAAGGTTATAACTAGAAATTGACTCGAATCCGATCGTTCCTTCACAGAATAAAGAGCGTTGAGTTCAAACAGTTATGAAGTTTCGATCTTCAAGAAAATAACATTCAAAATTTTAAACTCATCAGGAAAAGTCCGTTCAAAAAGATCAGTTTTAAAAAAATTTCGATTATCATACTTAAAAAGATATGTTGTTTTGCAGTATTTGTGTAAGTTTATTTTAAATGCAGTAATTTTCGTTACTATTAACATAATCAGTCTCATAAATATTAATTTTCCGGATGCTAAATCAATTCTTTGCGATCGGACAGAGACGTCTTTCCTCTATCTGTCTCAGTTAGTTTTCCACAATCTCATTGCTGGCTATTTTGTGTTTCCCCGGTGCGTGGTCTTTCACTTTATCTTGAACCGATTTAAAGTTATCCCTGATTTGATCCAATGCCTTGCCTAAGCCTGTCTTGATTTGGTTGAACTACTGTGTAACTAATGATAACCTGCTCATTCAAATAGTTCAAGTTTTTCTTCAACTTCTTTCATCCTTCCTGTTATCTGTCCCACCTGTAAAAATATATGACATGTATTGCTATGTGCGAAGTGGGTGGTGGGGTCGGTCAAATCGTGACTTGTGTGAATTAACTCGGGATCAGTCGTTTTTGATGGAAAAACGAGTTTAGTTAGTTTTGGGTTGTAGATGAAAGAAATAGGACTAAAAATAAGCATAAGCATGAAATTTCTGAAACATTTTCCTATATAATAAGTTTTTATTTGATTTTTCAGAAGCTACCTTAATTGTCTGCACTTAAAGTTTGGCCAGTTTTTCATATATCTTGTTGTGGATTACGAAATTGGCGAATGAACTATGCAATTCCTGACCTTTTAAATCGTGTACATAATCGCATTTCAATTCAACGAAAAAACTAGTAACTCTACGACGAAATACGAGTACATTTTGAAATGTACGTATATGTGTATCTGTTTAAACTTTGACTCCACTGACAGGGCTTGAAGTCAATTTACAACGTTGCGAAACATTTCTACCTTTTTTTAGCAGCATTTTTATAACCTTCCCAAAAATAATGCCTACTCTGACTGACAACAAAAAAAAAACGGCTGGTGAAGCCACGCCAAGGTACTAACATTTAATTATGTTTTGTGGGGAGTTTGTGTCACAGACAAACGAAGTAAAATGGCAGGTTTTTGCACTTGTTCGTAATGCGACGACAATTTCACGCAACTTCTTCTCAAATCCGTAGGATTCATACTTCTAATAACAACAAATTGGAGTATATCGGTCAAGAAGATTTTTGGGAATTTCTAATTGTTTATCCCATAACTACTAGTTTATTGAGCAATATACAGGGTTCGTTCAAAGAGCATTTAATAGCAAACGTACATTACTATATACATTTTAAAACAAAGCGGATGTGTATATCATATGTTGTTGCGAATTACTCACAAATACGAAATCTTTGAATTTGTTTGGAAGAAAAAACGTAACCCATCCTTTTTTGCATAAAAATAACATTTATCGTCCAGAATGGTTTGCGATTCATATCGGCAAGGTAAACTTTAAAAAATGCTCTTCGAACGAACGATGTATATTGCTCAGTAAATTAGTAGTGATGACCGGAAAACAGGTGTTTTGGGATAAACAATTAGAAATTCTTAAAAACCTCTTGACCAATTCACTCAAATTTTTGTTGTGGTTATTTAGAAGTACGAATCCTACGAATTTGGAAAATTTCAAGTATCTGTGAGAAACCATCGTCGTATAACCACAAGTGCCAAAACCTGCAGTTTGCCTCGGTTTTCGGCCATAAGTTTTTTGTTATTAGTCAGACCTTTTTACGTGTGGTCTCATTTTGTAGGTCTCTTAAATACCTGAAAATCGTATACAGGGTGCGACAGAGAGGACGGACGTTTTTGGGATGGGTAGTACTCTCCGCCTCCGTCTACGAGAGAGGTGGCGAGGGTGCCGTTTGACTCGTGAGATCCAGCATTATTTTACCAGTTGTTATGGAGCCTAGGACGGTGGAGCACCGCGTTTTCGCCTATGATTGTTTCGTCCGAAATAATGAGTCGTCATCGCCGTACAGCGTGAGTTTCGTCGCCACTTCAACATTCATCGGAATAGAGCTGTTCCCTCTCGAAACACCATCCTTCGTTGGGTTGAATCACTTCGCAGGCGTGGTTAACTGATCAACAGAAGACCAAGAGGAGCGCCGCGAACAGTTCGAACTCCTGAAAATGTTGAACGCGTTCGACAGGTCTTTCTTCGCAGTCCGACTCGATCTGCCCGGAAACATGCTGCTGCACTTCGCCTTAGTGATCGTTCGGTAAGGCGAATTTTGCTTATGGATCTCCGCTTTCACCCCTACAAATTGGCCATTGTGCAACAGTTACAGCCCGGAGATTATGCACAACGAATGAACTTCGCACGTGAGATGGAAGCACTGATCGATCAAAATGAGAACCGCATTTTGTTTATGAGTGACGAAGCCCACTTTCACCTAAACAGCATGGTTAACCAGCAGAATTGTCGTTATTGGGCTAATCAAAATCCGCAACAGGTACACGAAAGACCGCTGCGATGTTGGAGAGAGTCTACGCGAACTTCCAAGAACGCCTCCAGCACTGCATCAACGATTTCGGCCACCACATGCCTGATGTGATTTTCCATACTTGACTGTCTCAAATGATATTTCCTTGTGAACCTGATTCCATCAATACATTTGTTTTCGAATTAACTATTTTATGATTTTTTTAAAACAGTCCATCCTCTCTGCCGCACCCTGTATAAAGAGTTTTTTCGTTCCTGCCAACACTTTCGATTGAATCCCAAAAAACACGTTTTCTCATTCTTTGTTCTCGAATAAAAAGCTTTCCCACAAAGATTGGTGTACCCATTTTATGCGTCCATGTTTTAAACCCTCTTGAACAACTTGCAACAATAAAACCAGACTTTACAATTACTATATTTCGCAAACCAGTGGTATTTTTGTCTAATATGATTAGACTACACACAGATATGGCCGATTTAGTCGCTTTTGGCTCAAATTATTGTTGGATAAAAGCGTCAAGTAGATTGACTCTGCACTTCCTACGCAACGCCGTTTATAAAGGATTAAGTTCAGCGCAATTTAAATCCTATGAGAAAAAGTCAGTTACGAACATGTACATGACTTGCCCCGTGTGTGTTCTTTGCGCTGCACTACGCAAAGATTAATCAGCCGGACTGGTTCGCCAGGCGGTGAGCTTAGATAGCAGGAGTACGCGGATCGAAAACATTTCACTATCATTTTAAGTTTTAAAGGAAAATGTACGGGAAATCTTTGATGTGCGAATTATGGCTATTAGGTGTTTAGAATTCCCGTGGTTGGAAGCGTATAAATGTACTAAGATCAAAACATGTTCATATACCCTCTCCTACCGTCTACAAATCCCAATCCCCGGACTTCAACCCTTCAAAAAATGTTCTGAAAATGATCAGGACCCTCTCAAACGTCAAAAAAACGACGTTTGAGCAACTTCTATTTTTTCATTTTTGGACTTTTTTCTCCGCCGCCACTGGACCGATGTTCGAAAACTACAGAGCTGCTAACTAACTAACTTCTCAAGTTAAAGACGGGCCAAGGATGAGCGTATAGACAGACCGCCGGAAATGAATGTCATGACTTTTCGTGGTGTTCGTGTCATATAACATTAAAAAACATATAACAATATCTCATTTTCGAAATTTTTCGCAACTATAATACTTCCTCGTCCAGTGGCGTAGGACGTAAAAATCAGATAATTGTTTTTTGTAATTTTTATTAACAACATTAAGTCGATATGGACCATTCCCAACGTCCCTGTTTCCCCCTCAACCCTCAATATACTAATTGGGGGGATTAGTCTTGCCACAGCCTAGCTGAAGATGGTTGTGGTCGTACTAAGTGCCTATTCAATCATGTTTATCACGTTTTGACTTTTTCACTCCTCCTTAGGGGTGTGTGTGTGTGTGTGTATGTCAAATAATGGCATCGAAAACTGGAGTCCATTTGCCCCAAAATGTTATTAATGGATTTATATTATCTGATCATTGTGAGAGACGGTAAGAAAGAAAAAAAAGGGGGGGGATATAACTGAATAGTTACGAATTCCAGACAAGGTTTATTTTATATGGTAATATTTGCCTTTTTAAGGAATTGAATTAGCGCTAAACAAATTTTTATATCCGGAACTGATAAAATGGTAGTCAAACTTAAAGGTAGTTGGAAGCCAAGTTTAATCATCTGAGCGATGAATTGGTTGGAGATATTGGCGTAAAGATTACAAGCAAAAAATATGTGATTTAGATCGGCTATAGAAGATTCATCACAAGAACAATTTGGAGACTCTATTACACCTATTCGATAAAGATGAACAGGATAGCAACCCAATCTCAATCTCGTTATAATTGTGGAGAATCTTCTATTCATGTACAACAGATCTGTGTGGGGAATTATATTGGGAAGGGTCGGGTGAATAAGCGCATAATGATTTCGGGAGTTTGCTACAAAGTTGGACCAGATCAAATCCCATCTTTTCTTGATGTTACCTCTGATCTCTATGAATAAATCAGAAAAAAGTGGCACATCAGTAATCTTACTAGAGTTAATTGCATTTTTTTTGCAGCTTTATCAACCTTATCGTTGCCTCTGATGCCAGCATGCCCTTTTACCCAAACAAATTTTTTTGGCTTGACAAGTGACGAGCAACTTTCTGATTTTGCATAATCAAAAATCATCATATGATTTCAGAGGATCTTGTTTAATTGCTTGTAAGAATATTTTGTGAAAGGCACCAGGAAATATGGAGCACAGGAGAGGAATCCGATATCCCTTAGGGGTAAAGAGTATAGTTTGAAATTCATTATTACGCAGGTCGTATATGCAAAATATGCCAGATCTTGCTTATCAGAGTTGACAGGACATCCTGGGGTTTTTGGGGTCGCTGATTAGATTTCCAAATGCGATAATTTGTATCACATCAAGTTCAAAGTCATGTGGGGATCAAGATAATTGAACACTTTTTTTCTGGATTTTATAGTTTTTCATTTAATTGTCCTCCAAATGACGTTGAACTTGATGTGATATTATCTGATTTTGAATTTGTAATCAGCCTCATATTTTGCATCTAATTCGCATAAGAATGAATATTAAACCATACCCCTAAATAGGACTACATGTAAAAATTAGTCTCACTATTACATAATGCCCTTAAAAGGGCGTTAAAAAGTCAAAACGTGATAAGAAAGAATGGAGTTAGTGAGGTGTTTTCCTAAGCAAATATTAGTTTGAAAGCGATAAACCTCGCCAAGAAACGTTGCCGATGGATGGCGTATTGAGGGTTGGCCGGTGGTCCGTTATTATATTATTGGGAAACATCAAGAATATGATTATCTGATTTTTTACTCAAAAATAATTAGGTAAAAAAAACCGCCCAAATCGACCCATCCATTCTTCAAATGAAAAGGAAAGTCCCAACTTTCAGAACACCATGTGTAGTAGGGAATCGATTTACACATCTCTGGTAAAATTTTGTCATTAAAATATAAGAACGGTCATCATACCTTTCCTTTCATATTGTCCATAACATTCAACGATCCATTCACATATTGATCAGTCTGATTCTGTAGTTTGGCCAAGGTATCAGAACTTTGGGTCATCTGTTGGTGCATTATGCCTATTTGTCGCCATACTTGATGGATGTCCTCACCAATCTTCGAGGTCAAATTAGCTAAAGCTCCAGACTCCTCGTCTAGGATCGAGAACTCGAAGGTATCAAATCTGAAAATCAATTTTTGTAACAGTTAACGATATTGTAAAAGTATCGTCTCAAAATTATAACTCCGTAGTCATGCACCTTTGCCACATATACAGGGTGTTCCTTAATGATATGCGAATATTTAAGGGTGTGAATCTACATGAAAAATTATTGTTAGTTTGCTTTATAAACTATGGTCCAAAAATGTTTCCTTACAAAAGTTGAAGTTTTAGGAAAAAAATGTAAATGAATTATTATTTTCAGAATCGCTTCAGATATTTCACTGATATTTAGTACGTAGTGAAAGTTAATAAAGTTGCATATTTTTCAATGCAAAAATACTTTTTCTCAATTCCCTTGAATTATTTTCCTTCGATGCGCCATTTTTGAGTAAAATAATAAAAACCGTTCTATTGTCCGAGAAAATTAATGTAATAATTGAAGAATGCAATTTAGCAATAAATATCTAGTTGCTCTGGAATATGTCACTCGTTTTTGACATCTGACAAGTCTCTGTTATTAAAATCTGTTCGCTGTGACATCTTTTTCATTATTTAGTTTTTACAATCTTGACACTAACGGTGAATTATTCAAATGCAGAAATGGCGGAAATGCATTACTTATATGGCCATGCCGACGGTAATGGTGAGCAAGCCAGACGAACTTATCACCAGAGATATCCCGATCGTGCTTTTCTAATATTCTTAGTCGTCTTGTTGAAACTGGTTCTGTCCGAAAAGGAACATCTGAAGGTGTGAGAACACCTGAAATTGATGAAGCAATGCTCCACGAAGTCGAATAACATGCTGAATCGAGTACGAGGAAGACCGCTAGATACTTAAATATTTGCCATCCAATTATTTGGAGAATTTTAGTGGATTTTTTGTTATATCCTTACTATATTTTAAGAGTGCAGGCATTACTTTCCATTGATTTTCACAGGCGTGTGACCTTTTGTCAGTGGTACCTTCAAAAAAATACACAAGATCCTGAATTTGAATCAATGATTATGTTCACGGACGAAGCTAATTTTTCTCGAAATGCCATTCAGAAATGCCACAATAATGATTTGTGGGCAGAAGAAAATCTCTATGCCGTAACCGAAACCCATTTCCAACACCAATTTTCGGTTAACATATGGGCAAGAATTATTGGCAACCATTTGGACCATAGTTTATAAAGCAAACTAACATCAATTTTTCATGTAGATTCACACACTTAAATATTCGCATATCAATGAGGAACACCCTGTATAGAGATATAAGTTGGGATTTTACAGAGCGTATAAGCAATAAACAAGTTTCCATAGAAACACATACCAAAGCCTTAAAATAACCGAGATAATCAAGCGGAATCGCACAGCAACCCTCTGTTGCGTGGTTCAGTAGACTACACAGTCGAGCAAGTTCGCAAACATTCCAGGCCGCGCCTCGCATTGTGATCATAATTAAATTGTAAATTCAGACCAGCGAAAATTATTTCAGTATACAAAACCGATCAAAATTATTTTTTGGATTTACAAAATAATTCGAGTACTAGTCAAAGCAATAATGCTTAAGCTATTTCAAATTATTTACTTCTTTTCTTTGCTCTATTTCTTCCTTCATTTCTTTCCTTATTTCCCTTTTCTCCTTAAACATGTTTGGTATCTGGGTAGCCAGACCTGACAGACTAACAGACCGACGAGACTTTTAACTAAGAGCAAAGGTCCACCGGACCGCTCTGACGAATAATGACGAATAGTAGTAATAACCGAGATATTGACTTCCAAAATTCTCTAAATAAGCCGTTCCCACGCTGCTTATCTCCCCTCCTACGTCAAAGGGTCTGATTGGTGTTTTGTGGTACTATAACTACGTGAGTCAGTCTCCAAATTAGGCGCTACGCGGTGTATAAAATTTAACCTAAAGTGTATCTAACGAAGCTACAAAGTAATCGTAAACAGTGGTTGATTCGTGATCAACCCGTGATCGGTAGCCATGGCGCTCTGTCGGCCTCTTCCTGATTGGCTTGTAGCGACGAGCCTCCAGACAAAGTCGCAAGGTTGCCACGCTCGGCGAGTTTTCGCCAGAGTGGTTGATCACATTCGCATGGATCACAAATCAATCTGTTGGTGCAATACGTGCAATAACTGTTGTAAAGGACATTATATAACAATAAATGGCATCACAAAGGTATATTCCAATTTGATCTGCAGCAAATTATGAACGGCATATACGGAGATGCGAAAACAAGCTCAAAACGGTGAAGAAAATTTTTGTGCAATCTTTATAGTTAAATTTTTCCTAAGAGATAGCATCAGTGAGGGAATTTTTTTCTATTGTCTTATTTTTCACATTAATTCGATGTCGAGGTATGTGGCCCTATCGCAATTGAAAATAAGGTTTCGATAATCCTTCCATAAAGTTTCGATGAGTACATCTGAAATAACCTTGAGATATTCTTCAGGGAAATACAAAAATCTCCTTTTGTGTTTTTTTGTGCAGCTTTATCTATTAAAATCCTATCCGCAATCTATTTTCCGTGCACACACCTTCAACCGAATGTATGCCATATATGATATTACCGTTTCCAACTTTCACCAAGGTTAATAGGAACCATAACAGCTCCCTACCCTTCCCCCCTATAAGAATATCGATTTGTAGCCTCACATTTCAAGGTTAGACTTCTTGTAATGTTTCTGTTCAACATTCGGCGATTTCTGACAATTTTCCCAATAAAACATGATCATTGTGACATTAAGCCTGGCAACGCTGCATAGTAGAGGGAACTCTCAGCGTCACGTTGATGGTTCGACACCACGCACAGGATTGTAATCAGTTACGGATACCCGTTTATGAGCGCGAACGTTTTATGCACGTCTTGACTTGATTTTTCTTGCGGAAATTTAATATTAGTCTAAAATGTCTGACACAGATACAGCTGATGAAGTGGTTGAAATCAGCTTAACGTCACCCAGAAAAAGGGCTAAAAAGCTTCATCTTAGCGCAGGTGAAAAACAAATTATTCTAAATATCTACAAGAACCAGATGCAAGAGAATAGTGGATTGGCTATAGAAAATATCGTATGTAAGGTTGCTGAATTCCGCGCTGAAGGAAGAAAAATTTATTATTTAGCCGAAACATGGGTGAACGCGGGGCATACGCAGGGAAAGGTTTGGGTAGACAGATCTGTGAGGTCCTCAAGGCAGGCTTTTTTAGATGGCCTTTCGACGGGATTGAAAAATCCTGCAGGTAAGTTTCGAAGTATATGAACTTTTTTGGATGCAGATAATTCATTTTCTGATCGAATCAATGATTTGGAAGCTCCGAACTCAGTTTTGCTATCTCATCCAAGTTTCTGAGTATTTCCTTCACCCAAAAACTAATCTAAGACCCTATCCTACACTAACCTAAAAAGAGTAAGTTGCTTAATTTCGTCATTTAGTGCGCTCGCTGAGAAGTAAAATAACTAATTACATTTAGGCAAGGGAAAACGCCTGATCATTTGCCACATAGGTAGCGTAGATGGATTTGTTCCTGAAGCATTGTGGGCATTTGAATCCAAAAAAACTGGAGACTATCACGAAGAAATGGATGGTAACTCATTTGAAAATTGGTTCAAAAAAATTTTGCCGACACTTGATGATAACGCAATTATTGTGATGGATAATGCCCCGTAACACTCCAGAAAATTGGAAAAAATTCCAACAATGGCCACCAAAAAGGCAGACATTCAACAGTGGCTTGTCTCAAAGAAGATCGACTTCGACCAAACAATGGTCAAAGCTGAGCTGATAAATATAGTCAAGCGACATAAGTATAAATATGATTTAAAAATTGTTGACGAAATGGCCAAAAACCAAAATAAAACGATTCTGAGGCTGCCTCCCTATCACTGCGAACTGAATCCTATCGAGTTGATTTGGGCCGACATCAAGCAATACGTGGCTTCAAATAACAGCACTTTTAAGTTTTCTGACCTTAAAAAACCGTTTGATGTTGCTGTCGATAGAATTACGCCAGCAAAATGGAGAACATGTATTTACCATGTCCAAGAGAAGGTTGAAACCAAAATGTGGGATATGGACAATATCATTGACACCCAAGTTGAACCCCTTATAATTGACATCAACAATTCTGATGATTCAAGCTCCTCGGAATACAGCATATAAATCGATTGATACCATTAAGACTGGCAGTTTAACGGGCTTTTTGGCAAGACAGGTAAGTTCATTATAGACTGCAATCAAAGTGTAAGTTTCTAGTTATTAATGTGGAAATTCAAAATTTATAATTACACAAAATTAGGGTTAATTTAGGAGTTCCAAAGCATAATAGTGCCATTTTGACCTTCTTCCTATTTCTCATGTAAATTTTAATAGCAATCAAACTAACAAACTTTATGTAGTCTGTAATAAACTTTTGTACTACTACTACTACGTCTGTAGTTTCTATTTGCTCAAAAAAATTTGCTCTGCATTGTGAATAGAAGGTTGATTTGTAAATATTATTGGGTATATATGTAAGTTAATAATAAAATATGAACAATTTCAATTGAGATGGTCCACAAGTTTTTTTCGTGTGCGTTTTAGTAACATTTTGCTGAAATGGTGAATACAGAATTTTTTGCACTGATTCCTAATGTCGAAATATGATTAGAAAGGCGTGGTATATTCCTGATAATTTACCATGCTTTTGATAGAATTTACAGCAACACATATCTTGTACGACATTTTTTGATAGATCAGTCACAATAGCTTGATACGGCCCTGTAGCGTCTCCTACGGTTAAGTTCTTGATCACGTGCAATACGGGTGTATATGTTTGATTTTACTTTGTTTCTTCGATGGATACAGTTTAGTTTAAAAACCGAAATTGGCACATATCTACAACAATAGTAGTTGTCGATTTGATGTTGGTTTTCTGTGGGCGTCCTCCAGATCCTATTGTTATTCCGCGAGTGTATTCAAGTATCCGAAACGTCGCCGCCATCCTCGATATTTCCATCAGAGTTGCATAGGTTAGTTTATTGTTGGGCACAGTAGAATATCTTGACAGACCCAAATGTCGCTAATTTAGGAAGAACTAAACAAACTCTTGTTTTTGAATCTATCAGCGATAAATTCAAGCAGTAATTACAAACAAGGCATGTGACAGGTTAGTACTTGAAATCCCGTTACCAAATGGATAGTGAGTATTTTTTTGTTTTCGGTGCTGTTTCACTGCAGATTAACTCCTGTGAACTCAAACGTAGTTGTTTTTGAAAAGGAAAGTTCTAACTTTCACGACACCCTGTATTATTCGATCTTTTAAACCCAAACAAGACACAAACTTACCTGTCGCTGATTCCCTGATTTATATCTTTAGCACCTTCTTTCATCTGTCTTGCAATTTCCGCCAGAATTTGGTGAACTCCATATTCTACCCGTCTTTTGGTGTCCATAACATTATCAGCTGTTTGAACCACAACTTGTTCCATTCTTCCAAGCCCTTGGATTTCCTTCCTAAAAAAAAATGACCAAGTAGGTTGATTCTGCACTTCCTAGGCAACGCTGTTATCAGTTCATAAACAAAGACATTAACAGAATCAAGCCAGTCTAACATGCCCATCAGCCGGTGCACACGGACGTATTTTGACGGTGCGGTAACGCGTAGCAAGATGGATTTTGATCATAAATAATTATTTGCATATGACGTATATAAGTATCGTATTTGTAAAAAGAAAAGAAAATACTGGGTACACCCAGGGTTGAAAAAAAACATGTTTAAGAAAAGCAAAAATAATGTTTTTTTTGTTTAAAACTGTTTTTTTTGTTTAAAACACTGTTAATACATGATTAAAACAGTAAAAAAATTAAAAAAATATTGCCTATATAATCTAGTAACGTTAATGAAGTTCCTTGAAAGTGTATTACTATTTTTGATCTAGCTCTATCAGAACACATCTCTAATTTAAAAGCGGACGTTGGGAAACTACCGGGCGGACGTCGGAGAAGTACCGTTTGCCTTTGGGTAATTTTTCGCGTTGCGATCTCCAGCGGTCAAATGTGCAGAGTCGTAGCTTAGTGGTGTTTTGTTTTTTGTGCATTAAAGATCGGCAAAAAAAGGAAGGCAATGACAGGGAGGAGAAGGGATGGAAATATTTTAAGGAGACTGATGCCAAAAAAGCTGACTCGAAAATAAATAAAAGAGCAAAATGTTTAACCTGCAATATGGTTATAGTGCCACTGGTGGCTAGAATGCACAAGCATATTAAAATTGTAAACAACTCAAACAAGGAAGTTTGTTAGAAAAACAAAATATTCATATATCAGATAGTTCTGATACCGACAATGATGATGTTTCTACCGAACCTATGTCCTCAAAGTCAAGTAGCTTGGAGAATTGTGAAAAGGTACATTTTTTACTTGAAGTTCCGTAAACAGTAGAGAAAACTAAAAATGTATTCTATAGTCAACGCCAAACAAAGTGGCGTGCACGTCATCACGATAAAAATTCCCCGACCTAATGCCTAGGTTTCTATCACAAACAATTGCTCTATTGCAGTTTCATATTAATGTGATATATAAATTGTAAAATGGTCATTACTCTCTTATTATGGTTAATAGTCATATAAACATTGTTATTAAAATATCACATAAGTTGCTTTCTGATAAATTTAGACGCATTATGCGAAATAAAATGTTTTGCAAACGCTCCAATCACTTATCGACATGTAAACGCACTAAACCGATTTCGCAGCGTTGACACATTGTCACCTTGAAACTTATTTAAACTGGGAACTGACATTTGTATTAATTTTGACACTGAATCAATTTGTGGCATTTCAAATCTTTATAAATCCTTTGGCCCCGCATACTGTAAATCAACAACTGTTTGTTTCAAAACAAAATTATTCATTTTACGAGTAGATAAAGGCAATTTTGGTATATAAAGATGCCCAAACAGTTAAATAGTCGGTGTAAGGAACTCGTGGCCTCGTTAATGCACTACTTTGAGCAAGAAAGGGACAACAACGGGCCTTTGTTGCCTTTAAATGCTGTTCAAGAGGTACGTTACTAATAATTATATGTAATGTATATTAATAATAGTGAAATTTTATTTCATTTTTTGTAGCGTGTTGCTGCTGCTTTAAAAATTAGTTTAAGGACAGTTAGTCGTATTTCCGAGGGTGTGAAAAGTGATGCAAATTTAGAATCGCCCAAGAAAAAGCGGAGTTATATTAAACGTGTAACCAACACAGCGACATTGGATACAAGTGCCATTCGAGAAGTGATCTATAATATGTATCACAAAAGTAAGATCTTATTATAATAACTTATCAGAAATTTGCATTAATTTGTTAACTAAATTATAATGTCATATTACACATGGTTTCAGAAGAACAAGTTACGATACAAACTTTATGGTCTCGATTAAGAGATAGGGCATTATTTGATGGTAGTGCCACGTCTTTAAGGCGGTTGCTTAGAGATCTTGGATTTAAGTGGCTTAAGGACAATCCGCGACGAGGGCTCATGGAACTACCAAGTATAGCTTTGAAAAGGGTGGAATTTCTAAGGCAATACAATCAAGCCAAGGTTGAGGCCTTATACCAGTTTGTCTTCCTCGATGAAACTTGGATATTTCAAAATGGGACCATAGGTCGCTCTTGGCAAAATGGAAACCAAAAAAGCGTGAAAGCTATTAAAACAGATGGTAAAAGGTATGTACTTTTACACAATTTGCACTATAAAATTTAAAACTAATATATTTTAGATACATTATATTACATCCTGGAAATGAAAATGGGTTTATTGAGGGTAGTGAAGCGATATTTTCTTCGAAAACAAAATTGAGCGATTACCATGGAGAGATGAACCAGGACAATTTTTTGAAATGGTTTCAACATCAGTTATTAGAAAAATTGGAGAGTCCATCTATGATTATACTGGATAACGCCCCTTATCACAGCATGATATTGAACAAAGTGCCCAACAATGCATGGACAAAAAAAAATATCCAAGACTGGTTGACAAATCAAAACATACCATTTTTAAACACAATGTTTAAAACAGAGCTATTGAGTATTGTTGCTCGGTACATAATGCTTCTTAATTATATATATTTTGGTCGACAGTTTATATTTCTTTTGTTTATTCCTATTCTTAAAATAACTGCTTTTTTAGAAACAAACCACTAAAATATACGTGATTGATGAATTGGCGGAACAACATGGGCACAAAGTTCTTCGTCTGCCTCCTTACCATTGTATATTTAACCCTATTGAGTTAATTTGGGGCATAGCAAAAGGTTACTATAACAGACATATTGGTAGAGATGGTAACAGTGAAAAAGACTGTTTGGATATGTGGAACGAGGATCTACAAACGGTTACCTCAGACATGTGGAAAAATAGTGTTCGACATACTGAGCAAGAAATTTTTAAATGGTATGAAAGAGAACGAATTTTTGATCGACCAGACATCGAACCTTTAATAATCAACTTTGAGAGTGATGAAGATTCAGATTCAGGCAGCGCTGAAGAAAGAAACTCCGACTAACTTTATTGTACAGAAAAAGCTTACACCAGTAGCTTACCTAATTTTAGAATGCATTTTTCTGTATGAATTCTGTAAAATAAATACCATGCATAAAATTTGGAGGACCCCATTTGGATTTTTATTCAGTACCTTTAAGCTATCAATTAAATATGGTAGTTTCATAGTGTCATCTGATCAATAATTGTCATACTTAATGATTATGCAAGTACAGATCTATAATTTTATTATACTATTATTTTTGTTCTCATTTGAGGTTAATATTGCTTATAAACCTAGATATGTAAATAATAAATTTTATTTACAAAAAGTTTGGCAACAATGTAAATTTTTCAACACACCCACCTTGATGACGTGCACGCCACTTTGTTTGGCGTTGACTATATATACATTTTCCATGATTTTATATTTTAAAAATATGGATTTAAGGGTTTTTTGATTTTTTGTTAAATAAGATGGTTTGTATTCTTTTATAGAAATTTGTTAAGTAACTTATTTAATGTTATTATACAAGTAAATACATAGTAATATTATATGATTATTCTGCTGCTTATAGTGTACTAGAATCAGAGTTCAATGTAGTTTATTAGGTTTACTCGTTCGTTAAGAAACAGATTTTTTTCCACTAGTATTAGTTCCCTAGTTTCATGTTTGATTAATTAATAAAAAATTAGTTTCGGTTTGCAAAATAAAATCAATATTAGTCATACTTAAAAAGTATAAAAAAACTTAAATAATTCACAAACGACAAAAAACAGTGTTTAAAACATGTTTCAAACAGTTTAAAACAAATTTATTTAAAACACCTTCATTATTTTAAACAGTGTTTAAAATACTTGTTTTAGACATTTTGATTGAAACATAACAACCCTGGGTAAACCCTTATGTGAGTGCGCGTGCATTAAAAGGAACAATTCGTGATTTTTCGGATCTGAGAAACGACGAGGAGAAGTTTTTCAATTATTTTAGAATGAGTTCCAAATCGATTGACGAATTACACGATGTCTCCTTACCTTTTTAATCAATATTTCAGTGTCTATATCACCGTCCGTCATTTTCAACGCACTGCTTTCCGTCGCTCGTGTGCACTCCATGATATAATCTAATGTACCGCTTCGCCGTCGGAACGTCGAAATGTCGTTGCGGCGAAGGTTTCAACGATGCGTTACCGTCGAACGTTGGATGTCGACGTCCCGTATGAATTGATCCATTTACGACAATGTATTTCCGAGACGTGCGTATTTTAACGTTGCGTTTCCGCACCGACAAAATACGTCCGTCTGCACCGGCTGTTAAGGCGGCTCCGACGCAGTAAGTTTCAAGGGTTCAGCTGCTTCGAAACTGACACCCCAGTTTTCAATATTTTTGAATGAAATTCATACTGTATGTTAAGAAGACAATTGCCCAGGGTGATATAGGAACACTTTTTGAAATTTTGTTTTTGTACAAGATTTATGGTGGGTTACGATGTTTACTTTATCTTGTTGAATTGTTGATGTTTTTAATAAGAGTCTAGCGTGAAAAATGAAAAAGTGGCTCGATAGCTCCCTGTAGGGTTGTGTTTTTTGTTCGAAATTAAAAAAAAATGAAGCGTCAGTTTCGAAGCGCGCAAACCTCTACAAATCGGATTTTGCACGAATTTTGTGTAGTTTCCTGCTGCCAGCCCAAGCAACGCGGCGGTATGTATGAACCCTATTTCATATAATTTCGTGCATAGGTATGTCATTCTGCAAATAGGTGTTCAGAATCGCGATTGCTGATGCGAAGTAAATGCTCATAACTAGTTACGTAAATGTAACTGCTGAACTTATGACCCGGTTCTCTCTCTGATCTTACACTGACCAATAAATGATGGAGAATATACTGATTTTCTGACGTTTAGGCTGCTTCGGCAAATAAAAAATGTTTACTCCTCCATCTTAAAGCTGGTTTACTTCGCACGGCAGTAGCGCAAAAATTTTCGAAAAGGAGATGTTATGTGTCTTAGGCCTTATATGACATCAACATCACGAAAAACTATATCACTCATTCTCTCCGTCTATCGGTCTGGTAACCCTTTGCTCATCTATAGCTTGGAAATTAGTTCTCGGATTGTCAAGAAATTACCACACTATAGTGACAGCGATTAGTTAAATAAATGTAATTTGTATATTTACTGGTTAATGACGAAGGACCTATATCCCTACACATACTTATATTATTGCCCTGTTTATTTCTACGACTCTATCCGGATAGACTTCAAAGTGGGTTATCCCAATCCTGTGTAAATCCTGAGCGCTAATTTTGAAGGAGCCCTCTTTCCAAGATTTTGACGTTATCGGTTTTGGTTTGACTTGTGGATTGCCGAAATAAACGGTCAGGATTACACTTTAAAGTTTATCCGGATAGAGCCGTCGAAATAAACGAGGTAATGAATGAAATATTAAAAAGATCCAGAATTAAATCTAAAAAAGAATTTAATTTTTGAGCCATTTCTTTTATTTTTTTCCATGTATTAAAATTATTTTTGTAATATAAAAAATATGTAAAGTTAACGAATTATAAACTGGGGCAGCATATTTAACATTTCAATGTAATAAACCTTATAGCACCTTGAAAGTAATAGAAAGTGGAAATAAATTAAATGGTACCTCAATTAATTTTAAAACCTACACGCCACTGGCGATAACGCATTATCGGTTTTGCAGGTAGTTGTGCGGCGTGTGTGTCACTTGTTTTATTACTCCATACGTTCGTTGGAAATATTATAGGTTACTACTATGTCAAAGCTTTGTAGCTTTAGTCCAGTGGCAGCGGCGCTATAGGCAAAAAACGAAGAAAATAACAATCGCTAAAACTCAGTATTTGACGTTTCAGGGGTTATTCCTAGTCATTGTCATAAAAAATTGTAGTGCTTAAAAGTGGGGGTTAGGGGAAGGTGATATTAAATGTTGCATCTTTGATATGTGAAACACGTTCTATTATTAAGAAACTTCTGATCTCAGTAATTATAGGAAATTTAAGTGACGAAAAACCGACCAATAATGTGCTCAAGATTTGAAAAAATCGGTACCTGCAACTGCCGACAGTAGCAAAGAATAAATTAGGATATTTATAATTCTGGCTATATCGCCAATTGATATCCGACGCTGTTATGCGCCTGCAGTAATCCTTTCTTTTTTGAAAGTAGCGCCGACGATAGTCTAAGACGTTTCCGTTTCATCCCCCGTTACCTCAGGAGATGGTCCTCGTGATCATGGGAGCCGTGGCCTATGCGCCGGCTCATGGTGGCCGGTATGCCTCTAATTTCAGAATTCATTCATTCATCCAACATGTCCAGTTAAACCAAATAAATGTTGCCTTGCTCTATTGCCAGCGCGCCGACCATCTGGCAAGTTGCTATGATTAATTTTGCCATTCGTCGAGGTCAGTAGGTACTCATCACAGTGACCCATAGGCGCCCGAAGGAGGGAGAGGGCCCGTGACCCCTCGCCCGCTCCGGAATCCGGTTGGACTTCTAAAATTTGCATATTTAGCCGATCTGGCCGATATTCGGCTCCCCAAGAAAAACTCCTACGGGGGCCCATGACGGGCCCGTACACAGCGAACAGGCAGCCAGGGACCAGAGATCCGTTATAAGGGCAAATCTATGAAGTAATAATACACTAATGCCAGAAAATTGCGATATACTTTCTTTCATATCCTAGAAGCCCCGATCCCCGATGTCTGAACCCTACAAAAATTTGGCCTACAATGAGCAGGACCCTCTGAAACGGTAAAAGACGAAGTTTGAGCGATTTTATTTTTTTTCATATTTTTGCCACTAGCTATACGCCGCCCCACTAGGATAATTTTCAAGATCTACAAAGCTTTTTCGTCTTTGGTATAGTAGTAACCTTGTGTGAATATTTCATCAAAATCCGAGCGGTACTTTCCAAGTTATAGGTGGGCCAAGGATTTACAGACAGACCGGCGGAAATGAGTGACATGTTTTTCCATGATGTACATGTCATATAACATCCAAAAAACATAATGTCCGATTTTCGCGAATATTTCCTCGCCATTGACATTGGAAGTAAAAATAAATAAGAAAGTTGACATGCTGGTAAATCTTATGCCTGCAGATTGAAGTTCTTATTTTATATGTATATGGTTGAAGATAGTCATAGTCCAATCTGAAAACTGCTTTACTTCATTTTCGAGAGGAACGCGGAAATTTATTTTTACTGCAGCAAGAGTTGATATTTATCTTAAATATGTATTGTACGCACCTGATCTTCTCATAATTGGTAGAAAATCCGTCCGCTAGATTGGCCGCGATGTCAGACAATTGGTTGATCTTGTCGTTGATGTCTTCCCCAGTTTGGTTTATCTCACCACGCAGACCCTCGATCGGTGGAATAAGAAGTTGAGCAGTTTGAGCGGGCGTGTGTTGAGCCTGATCTTTGATTTCTTCCAACTTTTCCATTGTGGTGTTTTGGGCGTCATCCAGATCTTGTTTTTGTGGAAGACGATCTACTTTGGCTTGAATGGTCCTCAGATCGTTCAGTACGTCGTTCACGTAGGATTTTTGAGAGTCCAAAGCTGAAGATCGATTTCAAGTATTTCATAAACCAAGTTCATATTTGGACTATGCAGTTCTAAAGGAGAATGATATTAAAAATATTCAAATTGACACATACCTTTCAGGAAATTATTCTTCCATTCATCCTGCTCCTTGAAGTTGCCCTGATTCAACTCTGGAACCTTATTGAACTCGGCTAACCGGTTCTCGTACCTAGAAAGCAACTGCTCACTCATATCAAGCTGCCTCTTCACCTTTTCCAGATTTTCGTTCGACTTGCTGTTAATGTCGTTCAAATGCCTATTGTCTTCTCTCATTTTGTTCAACTCAGATTCCATTTTATCAATTGTTGAGGATACCTTGTCTATTTTACCTACGACTTCTTTTTCGACTCGTTCGAAATCCTTTTTGGACATTTGGGGCTCCATTATTTGGGCTGGAGGTTGATGACTGCCAATCTGGAAATAGTTATATTCTTGATAGATTTTTGAAATACTGATGCGGCCACGTAGTCAGAAGCAGAAACCTAAATACCGATACACTGTGTCTGCTATAAGAAACTTAAAAACACCTTTAAACCAGTTTTTTGATGCGTTATTGTGCGAACTAGATGTCGTAATCCTGTTGTTTCTCCCTGTGTAAACCCTCCTATATACCTGTGCGGTGCGGTGTGTCAAGGTTGTGTTCATCTGAATATCTAATGAGCATGACTACAATTCAAGTCGCTATAATAGGCACCTTAGCGGGAAGTGTGTGTCCTAGTGCTCTTCCTAGTTGCCCTCGTCGACAAATTTCCAAGCCTGTTAGGTATTATACAGGGTGTTTCAGTTTATTGTTGCATAACTTTAAGATTCGATAGAACTTTATTTTTGCATAAAGTCTATATAAACATGGGTCGGAAAATGCGTGGCTTCCGAAATACAGGGTGTATAAATTTACTTTCTAAAATAGTTTTTTTTAAATATTTCGAACAATATTTGATGTATAACAGTGAAAATTGGTATACAAGGGTTTTTTTGGTACGACAAAACGAACCATGGGCATAGTTTTACTGTGCAATTTTTTGCTATTTGAATAAAAAACTGATTCTTCGCACTTTTCAGCATAAAAAGCTCTCTTGTGAGTTTTCGTTATAGTTAGCCGTTTTTGAGATATTTCGATTTTTAAGGTTCGATGCATTTTTAATTATTTATGATAAAATAACGTTAAAAAGTCAGTATCTCGATAATTTTTAGAAATAGGCTGTGCCTGCAAATATTTTTGAAATTGAAAGCAGAATAAGGTTAAACGTCAATTAGTTGACAGTTAGTTTTGTTGTCTGTTGAAACTTGAAATGTTTTTTTGCAATTGTGAATGCACGAAATTTAGTTTCTTTTACCTGTTTTTTTTTTGTAAGTTTTATAAAAATGCCATTTTTATTCTCCAATCAAGAGTTAGCGGATATTCATTTTGTGCATGGCTTTGTAAATGGAAACGCAGCAGAAGCATCCAGAGAATACGTACGAAGATTTCCAAACAGACGACATCCAACTCGCTCAGTATTTGTAAGAGTTCATCGCCAAATAATTGAAAATGGTTTTGGAAATCTCCAAAGGGATCGTGCAGATTTACCCGTATGATTCTGCGTGAGTTTGATAGAGATCCGACCACAAGTGTTAGGAGAGTTTCTGGTGCCTTGGGAATTTCAGCAAGCCATGTTCACCGTGTTCTTAGAAATGACCATAGACTTCCTTACCATTTGCAACCTGTGTAAGGACTACAGCCAGGGGACGGAGAACGAAGAATCACATTTTGTCAGTGGATTCTTGATAGAACTGATAATAATAGGGAGTTTTTAAGTAACGTTTTATGGACCGATGAGTCATGCTTCACTAGACGTCGAGTGGTAAATTTTCATAATCAACATATTTGGTCGCATGAAAATCCGCATGCAGTTCAGAAATTTTCAGCATGAATTTAGTGTGAACATGTGGATTGGTATCTACCGTAATCGACTATTTGGACCCTACCTTTTGACTGCAAGGTTAAATGCTGCGACCTTCTTGGAATTTTCAAAGGCTGAACATGGAAATATGTGGGATGATATTATGTTAGATTTAAGAAGATTGGCCTGGTTCCAGCTTGATGGTTGTCCAGCTCATTATTCGAGAATAGTTAGAAACTGGCTGGACGAAAATTATCCAGAAAGATGGATCGGCCGTGGAGGACCAGTCGCCTGGCCTCCACGATTCTCTGACCTAAATCCATTAGATTTCTTTGTGTGGGGATTTCTAAAAGAAAAAGTGTACTAGACTCCCGTAACCACAAGAGATATGTTAATAGACAGAATCAGGAATGCATGTGATGAAATAAGGCCTTATTTGAATAATGCTATACCACGTTCCATCATTCGTACATGTGAATTGTGTATTGAACAATTGGGTTTACATTTCGAGCAACTACTTTAGATTTTGTATGTTTGTCCTAACTATCCAATAGCATTTTAGTTGTAAATAATTAATTTAATTTGTTAAAAATAATATTGGAAAATTAAACAAATTAATATTCTGTTTTTTTGTGTTTATTTGGAGTTAGGAATTATTGTTGTGTTTAAAAACACAATCTAAACGATCATCTTAATTACTTGTAATGCCCAAATCGAAAATGTAAAAAAAATATTATTTTCCCATAAATAATTAAAAATGCATCGAACCTTAAAAATCGAAATATCTCAAAAACGGCTAACTATAACGAAAACTTACAGGAGAGCTTTTTTATGCAGAAAAGTGCGAACAATCAGTTTTTTTCGGTCATTTTAATACACTACAGGTACAGTAGAGAGCGCCCTCTAGCGGCTACAGTAAAACTATGCCCATAGTTCGTTTTGTCGTACCTAAAAACCCTTGTATACCAATTTTCACTGTTATACATCAAATATTGTTCGAAATATTTAAAAAAAACTATTTTAAAAGGTAAACTTAAATACCCTGTATTTCGGAAGCCACGCATTTTTCGACCCATGTTTATATAGACTTTATGCATTAATTTTAAAAATTCTATCGAATCTTAAAGTTATGCAACAATAAACTGAAACACCCATACTGTGATGTGGCGAATTAACCAGGTATCTTCAAATTATCTTGTGTGTGCTTATGCCACTAATCGTGGCTGAATTGGTGTAGTCACTCAAAGCCATTAAAAACAGATTTTTAGCTGCCTAAGGCAAGCAGACGTGGCAAATCCTCCGTACCACCACCACCACCAGAGGAACAAAATAGTGGTCGTACCGGTCAGTCGTGGATGTACGAAGTTCAACAGAGTGAGGATGGGAAGTAGCCTGATGGGTCCGGGTTTTGATAGAATACCTTCTATCGCGAAAAGTATGAATGGCTATACCCTATTCGTAGTCCATTTACGCCCCGGCATAACAGATAGCTAAGTTAATAGTGCTGAAGACTTACCTATTTTCAAAAGGACCACATTCTAGAGTTTACTCAAAGAACCTCATTTTGAGTATAGAAAACGGGGCAGAAATAGTATTTTGATAGAGTCAAGAGATTATTAATTTAATGGAGAAGAAATTATTTAAAATTAATAAAGAAATACCGCGACCAGGGCAGGAAGATTTATTACTTCGATGAAACCTGGATAAATGCAGGACATACAAAACCTAAAGTATGGCCTGACTCTACAACTGAATCAGCAAACAAGCCTTCTTGGATGGACCAACCACTGGCCTCAATAATCCGTCAGGTACGTGTATCTAACCAATCAAGTAGACTGAATATAATTATTTCGAGGAAAAGGAAAACGATTTGTTATCTGTCACATTGGCAGTGAAGATGGCTTTGTGCTTACTGCCCTATGGGCATTTGAGTCAAAGTAAACGACCGACTACCATGAAGGAATGAACGGGGGTTCATTTGTACTATGGTTTTAAGAAACGCTCCCAAAGCTTGACGACAATGCCACGTTGGACTTGATAATGCTGCATACCACACCAGAAAACTAGAAAAAATTCCCACCATGTCTACAAGAAAGGCAGTCATTCACCAATGTCTCCTATCAAAAGGCACGATGATGCAACTACTTCCAGTGAATGGAGAATTGTGAAAAGTACACTTCTTTCTATAAAAAGAATCATTTATTTAGTTTATTCCAAGACCATCGAGGAAAATACGGACCTGCACAATCTCGCTTTTGGGCATATTGTGTTTTGTCTGGGCGTAAATGGACTACGAATTTTTCGTAGGTTGCAAGTGAGTAATAAATATCCAAACCAAAAAATGCATTCGCTACAAGTCAGCGATGGTCAATGAATTCATCCAAAAAGGATTATCTACCTGGCAACAACGAATTTATTTCTGACTAAATGAGGACAGCCTTGTTTAAGCGCGAGTCATCGCTTATCTCGTTAGGTCTGAGCATGAGGAGATGTGGCGCAGGCCAGTGGCGTTCGATGTGTACCGTTGCTCTCTGCCTTTTCGGTACCCGAGTATAGATACGTCCATTTTCGCGAAGACGCAGCTTTCAATTGAACTGGATTTCTTCTGGTGGAATAAATTAATCAGTGCTTGGAACAATTTAGATTGATTAATGAGCAAGCCAACCAACCTGTGCAATGATCTCGTTCTTGAGCTGATCCAACATTTCCGGCAGGTTCTTCTGCACGTCTAAGACCGCTTCGTACATCTTCTGCGTTTGCGCTTGCTTCTTTTCATCTCTCTGCATGAGGAAGGTCTCGACAGCAGCAAGTCTTTCGTCTAGTCTGCTCACTGTTCCTTTCAGAGGGTCCAACAGTTTGATTCTCTTGTCTATGTTGATCATGCCCTTCTTCAACTGTTCTCCTACTGCTCGATCTCGATATTCATGCCGCTCTAGTTTATCGTCTGTGGATCTCACCACGTTGACTATTTGGAGAATGGCTAACCTAATGTCTTCATTTCTAGAAAAATAGCACGTAACTGTCAAGAAACGTTTTCATTGCAACAAAGGACAATGTTAATAAATATAAATAAAAAAATACATTATTAAAAACAAACTTTTATTTAGCTGTCCATAAAATGAACTAAAAATATAAAAACAATTGGTTTCTGATGGGAAATATTCAAAAAAACCATAATGATGCTCAACTCAAATTTTTGATTCTGCTGTCGAAACATAAGACGTTTTTAATTGAAAACTTGAGATGAAGGAGCTTCATTATAGTTTAAATATTTTCAATCGGAAAAAATATTTTAAAATTTTTATATCATTTTATGAACGGCTAAATAAAAGCTTGTTTTTAAAATGTATTTTTTATTTTATTTGTTTCTTATTTTTTAGTATTCAGATATTCAGATAGTCTAATAGCTAGTTTGGTAATTTCTATATAACTTTTATATATTTTATCATTAGGATTCCATAAAACCTCTTACTTTATTTGTATTATAAAATTTCGGGTGATATATATATAATGGTAAATACTTTGCAGCGATCGCTATATGGAATTTAGAATGACGTTATCTAATTTCGGGTGATATATATATATATATATATATATATAATTATAAATCGTAATTCAGTAGCAACCACCATATTGGATCAATACTGACGTCACTTTACTTATTAGGTTTGCCTCATCAAGCTCCTTCATTTCATACCCACAGAATATTTGTGACTATGGAAATTATAAATCTCCATTTTGTGATGGCCGCCATATTGAATTTAGAATAATATCGCGTTGCTTTATTATGTTTCTCTTATAAAGCCCGCTATTTTGATGCCCATATCACCCCGTGACTGTGATTTTTTATAAACGCCATCTTGGGGCGGTCGTTATATTGGATTTAGAATGACGGCACTATGTTCACTGTGTTTTTTCTCATTAAGCCTCATTACTATACTTATTATGTTCCTCTCATCAATCCCTTTCATTTGGTACCTATGTCTCAGAAACGACATGTAAATCGTCATTTTGCGGCCGCCGCCATATTAGACTCTAATGATGTCACTTTGCTTATTGCGGTTCTCCTATCAAGTCCTTTTATGTGATACCCATATCGTAAGTCTGTCTCGGAAAATATAAGCTTCTATAAATCTCCATTTTATGGCGGCTGTCATATTGGATTTAGAATATCGTCACTTTGCTTATTGTGTTTCTCTCATCAAGCCCTTTCGTTTGATGCCCATATCATAAGGGTTACTGTGGAAATGATGAGCCCCCATTCTGTAGCACCCGCAATAAAGGATTCAAAATAGCGGCAGTCCATTAGTTTTGTATTGTCACACAAACCAAACGTGTGTACATGATTTCAGCTCAATTTGTTAAGATTCAAAATTCAGTTCCAAGATTTGTCCGACACGTACTGACATACATGCAAACATACTAACAAACAGGTAAACTTAAATAAAGGCTTGTAAAAATAGGCGTTTTATATGCCCCACTGGGAACGAACGCATCCCAGTGAAAAATATTGTTTATTTTCACGTAAGTTTTACCTGCTATTTGGGGTAGGTCTCTATATCTTAATTTTTGGTATTCAATGACCTCAGTATCTAAATACTATCATAGAGTTATTTCTCATTTATCTTTGAATTATCAGCAGAGGAATAAATAATCTTTTTCTTTTGTTTTTTATATACTCCAACTACCACGAAGGCCTAAGGCCTAAACACCCATGGGGCTATAGGGGGATACAGAGAAAAGGGGGAACGCCACACGGACTCTGGCAAGGGAACATGCGTGCATGCAACATGCACACATTCTGGCCCCGCCCCTCGAGATCCGCCGGGTGGTACCTCTGCGTTCGACAGTCAGAGACAGTCTACCACCTACGCTACAATGTAGAATTGATTATTTATTACTCAATAGGAGAGGATAAGTGTACTTTAAGGAACGCGCATAAGATTTCCCCGCACTTTTCGGGTTTCCAATAAGTGCTTTTGGCTACTTACGAGTATATGCGCCAGTCTGGCAACAGGTGGGAATTGGTTAAACTCGTAAGCTTTTATTAAATCACGGCGTTTCATCACATTTTCTGTTTTAAATTAGGAATGACTCGTCCTTTTTGGACAGTTGGGGCTCCATTATTTGGGCTGGATGTTAAACACAAGTTTTATAAAATCAGGGTCTTTAATCAAATTTTCTGTTGAAAATTAAGAATGAACGATCCCAAAGCCAAAATCAAGGGGACAGACGCGGTTACCCGCGACTTCATACGCTTGAAACCATTGCTAACATAAAACATTGTTTTTAAACAATGTTATAAACTTATGACGGTTTATATGTGACAGCCAACTTGGATGCTTGGGAAATTCTTGATTAGTGACGCTACCTACTCTTTCCGCGGGTAAAACCGCGGGGCAGAAAGCCAAGGATTATCAGGTTATCGATTACTATTACCTAAAAACAAATCTCTTTATACTTTTCTAAAGCCTTCCTCGGAATTCGGAATCTTGGTTACCTCGACTATTGGACTGGTGAGTAAAACATACATTGACCTCATTTAGGACAGGCGCCACCGATTAAGTTTTATAAGTAGAGATCATTTAGATAATCCAGAAAGCTACTATCTGTACGCATACATGCTCTCCATACATATCGCAATTTCTTTTAATAGCCTCCAGCGGTTCAAGTTGTTTGCACTTGGTGCATTTACATTCGCTTCTCTTGGCTAAATGCCTTTTCCCATAAGCTGGTAATCTGCTGTTACACTGACAGATGCGGGTTTTAAATAGAATTAGGGCGGACGGCCATACTAGTGTCGTATACTTGAGAAAATTAGGTTCGTTTTATGTTGCAATAACGCAGATATACACTGTGTGCTCTTATAAAATGAGATGTCGTACATCATAGTTTTTTCCCTACGCGTATATGCGTGGTATTTTGCTTGTTTTATGAAAGTACAGTATCAGGAACTGCTACATGGACTTTAGTGAAAGATGTTAAATTGTGCAAATTATTCAAGTTAGTGGAAATACTAATAATAAATAGACGCGGACCATGTATTCAGCGTACCACAGCTCCGCCAGGGCTCCGTGCTCTTGCATCTCTCTAGCCACTTGACAGAAGATAAATAAAGCAGTTGCCTTCCACGTATTCAAATAAACCGACCGTTATCGTTAACATTTATTACCTCATTACGCGCGAAGGTGTCGACAAGACCAATTGTTTCCAACATTTTCACCTCCCTCGCTACTTTTGAGAAAGTATTGTAGTCGCGCAAAATTTCGAAAGTGAGATGTTATAGTTTTTTGGATATGGCATCAATATCACGAAAAATCACGTCACTTATTTCCGTCGGTCTGTCTGTCCGCTAATCCTTGGGCCGTCTCTAATTTGCTGTAATTTTCTCACAAGGTTACTACTATGCCAATGACCAAAGAGCTTTTCAGTTTTTTTAGATCGATCCCGTGGCGGAGGAACTAAAGGCAAAAAAAAAACGAAAAAAATAAGAATCTGTCAGTTCAGCTAGTTTCAAACCTCGTATTTTTTTGTTTATGGGTGTTTTTGGGACGCTTCTGTTTAACCGTCTCAGAGCGTGGTAAAAAATAGTACCTATAGGGTATTTGACAAACTGTGAAATCTTATTTTCTTGTGTTTCATTTTCATTGCGGACTTCCAAAGTGATTCAATATAATGTTCGCGCAAAGACGTATGTGCGAAATCCATAAATATATCACAAATTCTCGAATTCACGATCATTTTATGTGCAGGATATAATAATCTTATTTTGAACTTGTCTGTGTGTACAACTTTAAAATGAAGCTACTTCACTACAAAGTTTCCAAACATTCATAATCCCGATTCTGCGATAAAATTCCTCGAACCAAGAGAAAGATTGCAATCGAAAACGTTAAAAGTAAGAAATGCAGTGTGTTTATGGGCCTTTTTTGACCAGGTCAGTTTTAAGTGTTCTCTAAACACCATATGTTCTGCAGAAGTGCACAGCTTGTGGGTCTGTGATTTTGTAATATAAATACTCCGAGGAAAACATCTTTCTTTGGAGACAATCACGCAGATGTTGATGGTTGTGTAAAAATAAACAACTAGTTCGTTACCCTTGACTGCAGGAGGCAATACCCAGAAATCAAGAAAATATGTTTAAGATGTAGACTTTATCAAATACACTTTTCTATAGAGTGGAACACCCGCAGAATTTTCTGTTCTACAGTTTCGCGGCAACATGACCCGGCAAAGCAGTTTGACAAGCAAAACGTTAAATAGCGGTCAAAAACAAAGCTTGGAAAACATATTGTAATTTTTTATTAAAGCTTCACTGATTGAGACTATGCACTGATTACAAAATGGGCGTTTTACAGTGTTGAAAAATAAAAAAACAAGCACTATGAAAGATTGGTATATTTTAAATAACGAAAAGTACGGATACGCTCAGCATTTTATTTTGCAATTTTAACAAAAAAATCATTTTAGAACGCACTTAAAAGTGGACAGAAACGCAAAAAAATAAAAAATCTGTTTTAATTCACATCTTCATCGTTATTGCAGTTGTTTTCAGAGATACAGCTGCATCTGGATTATGTCTTACGTATTGCTCTCAAAATTTTATCAAATCCGATTTATTTGCAGCTGCAATTCCACTATAACTTAAATTTTGTAGATTTTCATGATTGAGACAACATAGAACATCCAGATCACGTGAAGTGTGTTACCGATACCTCCGCCTATGATGAGGTAATAAATATTTACGATCATGGTAAGGTTATTTGGATTCATTGAAAGATTTTATTTATATTATGATAAATGTCTAGGTCTAGAGAAATGCAAGGGTGAGAGGTTCTGGGAGAACGGTAGTACGAGCTCTTTTCTACCGTTATGCTGGCGGACTGTGACCCTCTGAGTGTTCTTCGATTATAACGAAAAGCATTAGGCCTGTTAGACCGGATTTCCTTTATCCTAACTGTGTTGCCCTCTGTACGTCGAGAAGTACCTGGTATGATTGC